TGAAAGGAATCTAGATAATCGGTTTCATCCAAGGACCGCCGGAGCTGAGAGGCCACCACTTTCTCAACAACCTTCCCCATGAGAGAGTTAATTATTATTTATATTGTCTGGAGAAGAACTGGAGAAAAATCACAAAATAGAAAGATCTGAAAATAGAAATAGAATGACTGTAGAAAAAGAAAGCAAAAGTAATACCAATAGTAATAGGCACTTTGGGTGCAATCCCAAAACAACTGGAATACCATTGGCATTAACAAAATCACCATTGATTGGTTGTAAAAGGTAGCTTTGCTTGGAATAAATTACATCCTGCAACAAATATCAATATCTGCCTATCTCAGGCCCTTGGACTGATAAAAATGCCAAATCCATCCTAAACATCTGGCTGACTATGATGAACCATCATAATTTACTAAATTTATATGCTATCTGACTGCCAGCAATTTTGGACAGTTCACAAATGGTTAATACTAATTCTTATTGTTGTTTATTTTGCTTTACAAATAATGCTTCAGTAACTTTAAAGGGATTAATAAATTTCACTGTGTGCCAGAAAACCAGATATCTAGATTCCAATCCTATATTCCAAAAAAAGAATGGTGGATATAGCTGCTTAGAGGTAGGATGAAATAAAAATATGAACATATAACAAATAAACAGCCTGTGTAATACTGTATGCTTTACTCTCATAATGTGACTTCTTGTAACATTTTTTCTAGGATTCCATTAATTGCATCAACAAAGATATTTCTATTCTCCAGTGCCATGGTGACCGTGATCCTTTGGTTCCTTTAATGTTTGGAGGTGTGACTTCTGAAACACTAAAGAAAATGTTAAACCCTGGCAACATAAATTTCAAAATATACTCAGGCATGATGCATAGCTCATGTATTGAGGTAATGATTGTTTTACATTAAGAATGAGTTATTGTAATCAGGGAAAAAATAATTTACGGGGTGTAGGTAGTCTTTGGGTTACAACAGCAGTTGGGAGCAGGAACTCTCTTGTGACATGCAACCATGGAGCTGAGTGGTGACAATTCCAACAGTCCCTCTTGTTATCATTAACAGAGGACCATGTGGGTTATTAAGCAAGACACTCATATGAGGGCAACTTTTGACTTCCTGCTGGCATCCTCATTGACTTTACTTGTGGGAAGTTGACATTGGCAATTGTGATAATATGAGTTCAGTAGCACTTGCTTCAATATAATTGGTGGTTATAACTTTAATCCAAACAAGTTGGAGATATAAATCAGGACACTGATTTTAGTGAAGTAGTATTTGTTGAAGATCAGAACAAAAGGTTCCTTGCATGATGAGGAGCCCAGTTCTTTCTGTAATACTTAAAAGAATATTAGTATCAAATATCTAAACTAATATACTGTTTTTCATTCCTAAATAGGAAATGATGGATGTGAAGCAATTTATTGACGAGCACCTACCTTCAATTGACTGAAATATGTGAAAAGCCTTTGGTTAAATGCACCAGCATCATCTGTACTAGATTGTTTTTTCATGTAGCTATTTCTAAAGCATCTCTGTGCCTACAGTATTAACTGTATTGCAAAGTTTAGAAACTATAACTTCATGAGAAACAATACTCCTTTTAAATTCCATTGGCCATAACATAGTTATATGGCAGTAAAAAGACATGTTGGAATATAATTAGGTATTCTCCTCCTTGCTAGATCATTCCAAATTTAAAGTTATGGAGACCTTTTATAATTCAAAGCAAGATTTTTTCCCAAATCCTGTTATATTACTATTTGCTAAATTGACACTTGTATATGCAGTATATAAAACTAAGCATGCAGTGGTAGAACAAGTATTCTTAACGTTCACATTTAACCAATATTATTGCATGTTCAAGGTAAGACTCACGTCTTTAAATTATCCCTACACCTTGGAGGAATACAGTGTTTTAAATGTATGCCCTGCTACTTAGAATCTTTGAAAAAGTATTTATCGCTATAACAAATGTTTCTCAGTTAGCTGTCCTTACTGAGATAAATTTAGACATAAATGTCACTCAATTATACATAGAATATAATAAAAATCATTAGAAATTTTAATATTTTGCAAAAATTGAGCTTTCAAAAACTCTTTTAAGTAGCTAACTTCTTAAAAATCAAAATCAGAAAATATATTGTATGTATTAGTCTTAACTTACTCTGCTTCAAAAAACTCAAAAAAGAAATTAAAGTTGTTGTTTAAAGCATCACACAATCAACTGACTATAAAAGAGAAAGGGTGCATACAAAGTATATTTTATTTTAAAGCTAAAAAACATCACTGTGTGAAAATTTTAACTATTCTAAATCTACCACAGCTCAGCAGAAATGTAATCTTTGGCTGGAAGGATACCACAGCAGTTTTTTGGAGAAAGTTAGAATAAGACTGATACACATTATTTTCTCCTCAGCAATATACATTGCTATCATCTCCTTGCTCTTCTCATGGCCTGCCTTCAGCCACTACCACTGATATTCAGCATGGCATATCACACTGCCTGTCTGTTACCCCCACCCTACAGAGGATTTTTCCAGCATGTGCTTTCTGTTCCCAGTTGCAACTGATTGCCAATATGCCAATATGCCATCAAGTCAGTCCTTCAGCCTTGGCTTTTTTTTGTTGTTTTCTCCACTACTGAACAACAAAGCATGGTTCAGTTTGGTGCAGAGCACCACAAACTAGCTGTTCTGGAACAGTTTGTGCAAGCAACATTTTCAATGTCCCTGGACCAGATCATTCAGAAATAAGGTACTACTTCACCCTTCTCATGATAAATTATCCATCTAAATTCTTTAAAAAAAAATTCTTAATAAGACTTGATATTTTATTTCAGATAACTTCCTTCAGAAGTTCCAAGTTTTGTACATATACACAGCTATACATACATATTGCTTCTATATGTACTTTGTGTATGTATAGAAATGAAAAAAAATCTTAATTCTATAGCATAATTGTAAGAATCTTTTAGAAATAGTGTACAAGTTTCGTGGTCAATATTGTATGTTTGGGAGAAAAACTGGACACATTCTTTCAGGCCATTCACCAAATCCCAATATTTTGCTGATTTTTTTTTTAGCATCACATTGCTACTGTGTATCTATTGATGGTGAAATAGCACCTTCTGAAATTTCTTCTATTGTGATTTTATTTAAGAGGAGACATGGAAGCTAATGGAATCACTCATATCTGCAGCTTATAAGCACTTAAATTCAGAATTAAAAATGTAATTGCAGTTACATGTTGGTGGAGCAGATAATCATGGCCTTTGACACTTTTGTCTATGTTCTGGCATGTTTCTTGATACTTGCTGGGCCTTTAGATAATTAAACAGAGCAATCTATATACCAGCAGAAGGACTGGGAAAGAAGACTGTTTGGAATACATAATTTCCACTTGTAATTTTTTTTCTAGTGTGTATTGCTAATATGGAGGTTTAATTGGACTTATTCTTTATTTAGTTATATGATGGAATTTGGAAAGCAAGAGACTAAGTTTGTTCCCTGTTGCAGCCTGAAACAATATTTTAAAGTGCAGATTCTGGATTCTAATGAACTGAATTTGGCTCTTGAAAGAAGTAAATATTTCTGTACTGAAAGCATCTCTGAATTATTTTAATTATAGGAATCTCTGCGAGAGTTTGTGTACATAGGACTTGAATATGGGAACAATGATTTTATCAGTTTGTTTTTATTAGAGACTGGTTGCTTATAAACCAGCAAGAAGAAAGCATTTTGACAGTATTCAGAGATTTTTTTATAAGCGATAAACATGTAAGATTTTCTAACATTGACTTAACAGGAAGTAGACTGTTAAAATATTTATTACCTAAAGATAACTGTTTCAGTTCTCTTAAACATCAGAAATGCAAAACAAACCAAAACTTTGATTAATGTCATTTTTTAACTTAAAAAACTTATGTGGAACTACTGACATCAAAATATAATAGTCCCCAAATAATGGTGAGTTTACTTTGGAATCTGATATACAATACTTTGCTAAACAATCAAACGTTAGAGTATTAAGTATTAAATTGTTCTTAATTGAATGTTTAAATAAAATTGCCAGTCTTTATTGTATTATATCATACCTTAAATACTGTGACAATTGAGGCAAATTTAATAAATCATCAGGATTTTTATTCTGATAGGTTTAGTTTTTAGTTTATCTTGAAATATAGTGTTCATTGCAGTGAATGAATTGCTGAAGGCATACTCTATTCTAACATGAATTTCTGGTCTGTTAATTGAATGTTTGCCTTAGGAAGTGTTTTGCAGTTCAGTAAATTCTAAATTCATTTTTTAAATAAATAGGTGCTATTGACTGTCAAATATTGTTTCCAGAAAGTATGTATAGGATATAAATGAAGCCATATGTTCAGGCTGGAGTATTTTATGAACAATTTGGCTTTTCTTTATCTTATATTTTAGGAGGTTCATAGCTAAGACAACACTTTGATTTTATATGTTTATGGCAAGAAATCTACTGAAACATCTTAGTTGGAAATTGTAATCTGTTACTGTGAATAAAATCTGAACAATCAATGAATGAAACAATTATTGTTGTATGACAAAGGCTGTATCCCTTTTATACATCTCTACAATTATTAAACAAGAAAAACAATTGTTCATTGAAGACTGGGGGATCAACTTTGATTTCATTGAGGGCCATATCAGGGTTGTGTCTGACCTCGGGAGAGGGGTGTGACTAGTGTGTGTGTGCGGCCAACTCAACATCACTTGTGTTGGCCCTCTGGAGCTCCATTTTAACTAGCACAGCGCTGCAGGGGGTTGTCGAGCTGAAAACGGAGTTCCGTTTTCGCTGGCAGAGGTACGGTGGGCCAGTCCTTTGCTGTTTCCATCTCTGGGCCAGAGCTAAGCCTTGAGTTTGACACCTCTGATTGAAGAGAGATAGTAAGTTATCTATATATATAATTAAAAAATAAATGCGTATATGAGAAACAATATTTGGATTCATACTTTTCACTAAGATACTTTCTTTTATACTTTAAGATACTTTCAAACTGCAATATCCAATTGTTTGTGTTTCATATATAACTTGCATGCCTTCAGATACCTAGAAGATATTAAGTACAATATGTAGCATATTAATAGATGTCATAAACCAAAGAAAGCCAGTGTGATGTAGTGGTTAAGGTACTAGAAAGCAGGAAACTATGAGTTCAAGTCCCACCTTAACATGAAAGCCAGCTGGTGACTTTGGACCAGTCACTATCTCTTATCTCAATCTACTTCACAGGATTGTTGTTGCGGAGAAAATAAGATAAACATTTGTTCACCATCTTGGATTGATTTTTAAACAGCATAAAAAAAGTAAGTTAAATCAGTATCATTCCATACAGTTGCAGCAGAATGCCAAGGCTTGGGGAGACCTTTATATTAAAATTAGTCACATTTGCGCTACACATTTATCTATTGTTAGGTAAATAATTACTTGGTCAGCACCTTTTCATATTGTATAATTCACCAACCCATAAACTAATAATAAAAGGTGGGCTTCTATACAATTTGGCTACAAACTTTGGTTGTGTGACTTAGTGTATGAACAAAGCAACCAATGTTAACCATGTTTAAATTTGAACATATAATTCAAACTGCAGTTATAAATTGCACAACCAGGTATTTAAAAAATCAGTTATTTCCATGATAAGTTAATATATATGTTTTGTAGCATTTTTGTTGCAAGAATAAAACTACAGATGCTTTGTGAACCTTAATCTTCTGTAAAAGCTTTTTTTGGTATTATATAGTTCATAAGAATAATAAAATGAGCTCAGGCAGAAGCTTTGTCAGAATTCTACTTTATTACAGTTTACAATGGAAAGTTGAATTACTACATATAAATCCATCTCTTCATGAAATCTTATTGCAGACATAATTACAAAACCATTCTGACAATTTAAATTAGTAAATCAATACACTGATAGTTTTCTTCAGTCAATAAATACCGCACTACACATTACATACAGAGCCTCTTGCTGAACTTTATATTTTCTCTTGACGTTTGAAGTTTAATTTTGTTTATAGGCCGCCCAATCCCGGAGGACTCCGGGCGGCTTACAAAGAGGGGAAAGAAAGGAAAATAAAAAATAAAATAGACAAGTTAAAAAACAACAGAGATACATTCATTTCAGTCGGGGCTGGACCTCAACAATGA